AGATATATTGGTTATGGTAAAGATATTATACATTCTGCGTTAACAAAATTTGTAACCTATTTATTTATAACCCGTATTAGGTTATGTTTAACTAGACTTTTACCCATTAGAGAACTTTATAACTTAAACAATAATAGATTTTTACAATATAATACATAAAATTGTGCAAACAAGACTCAAGTTCTTTATATAGGTTCTTTATCCTATTAATTATATTAAAAAGTGTTGACTTTACTCTGGTTTCAAAAAAACAATTTACACTTGTCTAAAAAAAGGTCAAAATACTATAATTAGTTTATATCTAATATAACTAATTATCTCATTAGCCAATAATAGCGTCTTAGGCGGTGGATACATTTTATAAGTATGATCATTATCTTAAGAAATTATCTAACTACTGTATTATGAACATGAAATATTAATATTTAACACAATAAAAATAATTACACTCAAATTATAACAAATGCAGTTACATCAAAAGCCCATTATTCTTTTTACTGTGTTGATAATTATGTTTTTTACTTTTTACACTTTTACTAAAGTTAAGCCATATGATTGTATTAGGGCTGTACCATAATTCGTCATTGGAATCTAGAATTTCAAAGGCAATACTCTCCTAGGCTGGATATAGTTCTAATCGGGAAAATGAACAATTGGGGTAAGAGCTGACATTATTACAAGATATGTTAAGGTAATTAAAGTTTAAATACTTTCCATAATAAGATACTGTAGGATTTTACTTTTAAACGCCATAGTTTACGAGTTTCAGTACAATATCACTAAAACCTAGAATTATTTTCAACGGTTGATGATCAACTTATTTACTCGTATTTGAAATTGTGTAGAATGGAGCTGTGCCGAAACATGCAGCACAGGTTAACAATTTACAATACAATGAATCAACGGGTATTCCGATCTCTTCTCCCGAGCACTGTACTCGGAAAGGCTTAATTAAGGCTATAAATATTTATCAGAGCTGAAAGTCAAATACTTTGTTCGCATATTCCTCTACCTTGTAGTATGGCAAGCTACATACACCACTGAATAAGCATTCAGATAGTGATTTCCTTAGTTTGTGTTTCACAAACTTAATTTTGTATGGAACACTAATAAAGAATTACATATCTATATGAACGTATTTTGTTGATTGAGCTAGGCACTATTATTATGATTACAATAGAGTTGATGAGTCACTGTGTTCACTACTGAGTTGGTAGTTGAGATGAAACTACAATGTTTAGAGATGATAAGCTATCTAACTACAACTAGCTAAGCCTTGGATGTAGGATATTCAGCAGAGGTCAGCAGATGATTAAGGCTATTGACAACGTACGTAGCTGTTTCATTGGATCAATTAACTCTGACCTGAATAAATAATATTTGTTTATGGCATTATTAAACAATTAACATAAATAAAATAGAAGTCGAACTATTAATAACAATACCCCCACCGCAGCAAACCTGCCGACTAAGCGAATTTCCATTTGTCTGAATTGATTTTCAGTTAAATATATTTTAATAACATTAGGTTTAACGAGTACCTAGTTTTGCTGCTACAAGGAAACTAATAAAGTGTGTTTTTGAGTAAAATATCGATAGCTTAGTAGAAAATAAATAAATTTGCCAAGTTTGATCAAAATATATTCATAAACAAGCAAACTACAACATTTGACAATATTCTCCATAAGAATAACATGGGAATTTTAAATTTACAATTTTTTAAATTTTCTCCGTTATTAATAATCGAACAAAAATACTTTCAAATACTAAATTATTTGTTTTTTTAAGCTCTTTAAAAAGGTCTAAAGAGAAATTGGGAAATTTTGTGTTTTGAGGGTCAAAAGTGAGAAAAACCAATTTTTACCCCATAAAACCCCCCGTAAAGCCCCGTTCCCATGGTCCGATCATGCTGGTTCGCGAACTCATTCAAGTTTATCCCGCTTTACACCTTTAAACCAAATTTCATCAAAATCGGACAAAAATTACTCAAGTTATCGCGTTCACGGACGTATATATATATATATATATATATATATGTCTATATATATATATATATACATATATAAAAATTTTAACGAATAGTGTTTTTGGCCTCTGGGGACATCAAAATGAAAAATTAAATCGGTCCCGGGTCTAGGTCTTACCGTGCCACCTACGGTAATAGGGAAATTCGCTAAAATGGCAATTAAAATGAGTGAGTCAATGGTTATTAAAAGTATTTTTGAACTGCCATTTTGATTTTGGTGGTCCGATTTATATTTTCTTTATGTTAGTTGTTATGTTTCGTCAAGACCTGTAAAATGATACCAAACTCGACTATACTTATCGTTTGAAAATTTTGAGCTACCCCCTACCCCCGCTACCCCTATGGGCAAAATGTTCCAAATTGACCATATTTATTTCTTGTAGCCCCTCATATCTAAGAAGGTTGCCGCAAACAGATTTCAAATATTTCAATTGGTTGTAAATTTAAGGGGGAATTTAAGTAGCTTTTCAGCCCCCCTGTATTAGGGAAATAAAGTAAACCCTTCTTACTTTGATACCAGCTACAAATTAACGTTAGATCTATATATAAAGCCAAAAGTACCCATGAACTTTTGAGATAACTACAAGTCACACCCCCATAAACCATATACTTAAAATGTTCGTCATAACGAGAAACCTTTCGCAAAACTATCCATTGCTTCTTAAATTGCCCTATAAGGCCGTAATTGCTTTCCAAAGGGAAACTTCCATATACCTAATGTTAAAATACCTCAGCTATATTCATTTGTATGTTATTCTTTCAATGTATTACCTTATTAAAATCAGGTGAGATTACACGTTTGTATTACTATATTCTGTTTTGTTTATTTCAGCTTAACCTTACCAATCAATAGTTTTAATACTTATGAAGTCAAACGGATGATGCCCGTGGGTAACAACTAGTTATTATTTACTATAAATTTGTTGCACTGATGTATAACAAACTCATGCAACGCTATAAGTTTGTTATGCACATTTTAAATTAAAAGTGTTATTCAGGGATAAACCGAAGGCTAAGCTTACAAGTGACCTATTTTAATAAGTTGAAATACAAGTAACTTCGCTTCACTATTAGACTAACACTTGAGTAAAGTTTGTTAATTAAGCTAATCCCCGTTTGATTTATATATTTGACAATCTGAAAACCAACACATTGACAAACCTTCAATTGCATTTATATAGTTATAAATAATTAGTTGTTAAAAACAATTGTTTAATTATATTTTGTATCTATCAAAATTGCGTAGGCCCTACTCTGAATCAAAATACATCAAACACTTATAATCGAATCGTCTGCGGTAGCTTTTAATGACTTTTAATAATAAATATTCGATACATGAGTAGTTAATTATAAAATAATGTGAAGTAGAAATACCTACAAATACTTGTTAACAGAATAGCAGGACCATCTTTCAACAGCAATGTTTATCAGTGGTATGAGAATCTGAGTGTTGTACGTGAGAGAGCCTAATAATAATGGTAAGTGGATGGGAGGGACGATGAAACGACCTGGTCACTTCTCCGCTTCAGCTGACCTTGACCCACATGTCATAGTACTCAGCAGGTAGCTTTTCAGACTACGGGCCAAACAAAGCAGTTCAATCTCCCTATATCAGTAATATTTTTTTTACACCCAACAAAAAAATCCGATTGTTTGCTCTTATTTCTTTATTTTTCGAATATATTTAATGTCAAAGATATATGTTTACATGAAATTTTAGGATATTTATGTACGTAACATAATTTATGGTATCCGTTAAAATAATTTCACTAACAGTTAGGTCAACAGTCCCAATGAATAAATATACATAAACACCAGAAGAAATATATGGAGAAAGTTATCAGTCACAAAAATCGTTCTCATATTTCATCTCACCCACAAATGCACGTTAGATATCCAGACCAGAATTGTAACTAATTGCTATGTAGGTAAATATATTTATAAAAGGGTGTTGAATACATGAAGATGAAAGTTTAAGCAAAAAATGGAAACGAATAATTCTACTAACGAGTTCTGTACTGTGCGAATGGGGGGAAAACAGGTAAGATACAAATGTGTTAAAGCTGTGTACCGATAGCAACTGTAAATACTTTAGTTCCCATATCAACAACTGTCATTATGATAACCACCAACAATATATATATGTAATTTAAAATTACTGTTAACTCCATAACCGACACCAACGAGAAAATTCAAAATCATATTTTTTAGGTAACCTATTTTTATTTTATACTGTTTCTTTTTGAGTTAAGTTAATATTTCTATAAACATTGCATCTAATTTTAATGAATTTATTTTGGCGAGACAAGTTTTATTGACATTAAAATATTGTAGGCCTATTGAAGGTCAAAAAGAACTTTAGTCGTCATTTACTATTGTACTGAGAGAGTTTCGACGATTAGCGGATTACTGCTTTAACACGTTCACTCCTGTTCAGAAAACCGTGTATGGCATGAAACTACATCAAACAGATTAACAAACTCAGGCTGATTAAGTATTTATGTTTATGGATAGTCTTAAATTCGTGCAAAAGCAATTTATTTAAATCTAAAAATACCACTTGTTTTTTCGAACAATTATGGAGAACTCGCTGTTGCAAGTCGGCTTCACCCCACATACTTTTTGGTATTTTTACTACTGTGTACTATGAACTATTACCACTACTTACAAATAGGCCTACTACTAAAAAGTTTATTTAAGCTACCGCTACAATCTTGTTTTATTTCGTGTTTTAATGATGGATCGTCAGCGTTAGAGAGTCCTAGAGAGCCTAGAGAACCTAGAGAGCCCACCGCTATACTGTTAGTCGGTACCGCTTTTGACGACGTAGTTCGGGCCGCTGACGCTTGGGTCGTGGTAGTCAATGGTAATGCAGTACGCCGCTGAGCCCGGCTGAGCTCACCTGCTCTGCGTTGAGACACGCTGTGTTAAGGTAGCCTGCTCCACGCTCGCGCGTCAGTCTCCTCCCCCCCCCCTACTCACCGTCACTTCCCACAGCAACCGGCCTCTCCCTCACCGGTCGAGCTGTCTCTACAAAGCGAATGCAATGAACATGAACGGGCAACAACTGCCTCTAACAAATATAACATAATTTTATCCATACATTACTCAATTAAAAAGTTATTTGTCAATATTGTAATGCTACAATTAATTGTAGGCTATACAGGAATCCCAATTTTATTTATTTTTTCTGTATATGATTCACTTACTTGAAGGTCTATCATGATTTTAAACTCACATCAAATTACAAAGGTTTGTAAAAAAATTTTGCCTTTCTTTTTACGTTCAATACTGATCAACTTTATAGCAAACCATTTTTATCGTTTAACCGATAGTTTATTATATTGATATTACAACTAAGTTTGTTTTATTTCTGTTGTGGGTTTACATATTCTCTACATAATATAATAAACTTAAAACTAAGAACACGTACGATAATGCATATGCACTGCTTATTTAACAAAATTCTATAACATAAATCCTAAATTTCTTTATTACTTTAAGTTTTAAATGAAAATATTTACTAGAATTTTAATATGGTAAGTGTTATAAAATTATTTCAGTGTTTATTTTTACGCCTTATTATTTGTCTGGTACCATCGGTTAAGTCGTACACCCCTGATTCCCAAACCACTGTAGGCTACATATTCTTCCTCGGTGACATAACACGCGCTACTTTCACTTTATTCTACGAGAGAAGAACGTTTCAAAAATATGCATAGTTATGATTCGGCTTTACACTAGGCCTACAAGAGTACAAGTAAAAGAGTATGTACAGGCAGTTTAATCTTTTTTATCTTTATACCATTAACTTCATATGAACTGGTTGTAACTACAAGAGTACAAGTACAAGGGTATCGACAGACACTTTAATTTTTAAAAATCTTTATACCATTACTTCATATGAACTGGTTGACAGTACGAGTGTACAACTACAAAGGTATTTACAGAGCCTTATCTTTAAAAATCTTTGTAAAATTGGCTTGATATAATAAATTTGCTAATCAAGTATACCAATAAATAAATACATTATAAATCAAACAAAATCGAGGCTCAATACAAAGTTATGAATTGAAAAATACATATTGCTATAAGAATTTTACTATAAATACTTTAAAGGCATAATAGAATAATGACGAAAAGAAAAATACGAACAAATCTTGTAAAAACAATTTTCCTATTACATCAAATAATTACTTACTATTAATAATTTAGTATTAAAATGCGTTATAAAACAAGGAAGAAGGAAACTACGGCTAAACAAACAAATTCATCAACAAATACGACGTTTTTAACCTAGCACAACGCAATGAAAAAATCAAATATCTAACTCAAAGTATTACATGAACAAAATACTACAGTTTACACCCTAGGCCTAGAATAATCGCTTTAAAAAACAACGGAACAGCAGACTAAACATATGGAAATGGTAATGCACAAAAACGAACAGCTGACTAATCATATGGAAATAGTAATGTAAAAAAAAGGCAATATAAATCAAACCGGTAACTCTACGTATGCCATTGAAAAAAAATACACTCCTGAATAATCTGAATACGTATTTAAAGAACAACGGGTAACCAAAGAAATACGCATTGTACAAAAAATACAGTTTACAGGGTAACTTATATAGTAAACGAAATACCAAAAAAAGAAACATATCCGCTTACTAAACGTACGTCATGGACCAAAAACTACAATTATTCTACAAAGAATTTACAAGTCATACAGTAAACGAAAAAATATAGCAAAACAACGAAATTGCTAACTAAACGTATATCTTGTAAAAAATACTACAATTTACACAATAGATTAACCGTGATACCGAATCTCAAAGAAAAAGCTAATAACGAAACGTGTATATATATATATATATACAAGAACTTACAGTTTAATAGAGAAACAGTAACAAAAAAAAAAAAACAAAACAAATACAAACAGCTAACTAAGCACAAGTTATGCACAAAATACTAAAATTTACACCATAGGATAATCACGATACTAAACAATCCACGAAAAGACTCACTAAACGTTTTTCATGAACTTAATAAAACAAATTACACTATACAATAACCACGATATTAAAACGCAACGAACCTGCTTACGAAACGTATGTAATGTTAAAATACTAGAGTTTACAAGGTATACAGTAAACTAAATAAGGAAAACGAAACAGCTTACTAAACATATGTCATGGGAAAAATACTACAATTTACACCATAGAATAATCGCGATATTAAAGAAATAATGAAACCAGCTGAATGATTAAATAAACGAATGTCGTGAATTAAAAATAGTTTACAAGATGCACCAATGTGCAAAAGATACTCAAGTAATAAATAATACAAAATAGTTATTGGCCTTCATCCATTGATCTATGGTTACGTAGTTTTGAGATATGCGTGTATGACAAGAAGCTCTTGAACAAAGTTTACAAGTGTTGCAAATTTTTTAGTTTACGTTGATGTGGTACTGATTTTGTAGTAGATTTTCCGTAGCGGGCCATTCTTAAGCTACGGGACGTCCACAGCACAGTTTTTATAATTTTCAAACGCACAAGGAAGTTGACTACGAAGTCGCGATGCTCCCTGCAAGTAGACTCTAGTTTTAGCCATTCTCTATGTTTCTTCATAATGTCCTTTTTGATTGAAGACATCAAGGATGACTTGACCCCTACTATATGCTTCATTTTTTGAAAGTTTTCTTTAAAAGAAAAAAACATGACGTCTGTTACGGATGCCATTTCCTTGGATGGAGCAGTCAGATGGCTTGTTCCATCTTTTGTGGAATAACTCCTGTGAAGAATCAGCAGCTCATTTTCGTCACTGAGCTGGGCACCTGTTGTAAGCTCTCGGCTGCATTCTTCACATGAGAATTTCTTCAAGCAAATCTTCGCTAAATATCCAGCAACATACCTGAAATACATTGAAATTGTAACACAAGACATTTGATTTTGATTTGTTTTTGTTTTATAGAACCGTTTTTAGGGGTATTCCCTTCAAACCTATATTCAACTTTTTCATGCTAGTCTTAAGTAGCTCATTCACTCCCTAGGGAGTAAATACCATTTTTAGTCCCTAGATAGTTAAAATTAGTTGTTGTAAACTGTAAACACAGTTGGTGTAAGCTTCGATAATAAGCAATCGCACGTATCTAAAGTATGTTTCGCTGGTTTTAATCTGATTTAGCTTATTGTTGCATTCTTGTTAACAGTTCGACATGCCGATAGTATAATGTAGGCCTACACCACGAATATTAGAAAGGCTGGTATGGATCATAAACATAAACAAATGACGTAGTTTGTCTGAATCCTATACTAACAGCATTAATCATTTTGAGAGGTTATCTTTATCTTAAAAGTGTTGCCGTTTTATAACTTAGTTTGCTTAAGCAATTGCGCAATATGACGAACAATATAGTTAACTAAACGAGCAAAAAAGTATTTTCAACTCTTGCTCTTTTTCCGTATTTAATATGCCTGTGAACTGTATTACCAGTAGGAAGCAAACTATGGTGATACGTTGAATTTACTGATTTTATAATAATTGCATTGTTTATTTTAGTGAAAAAACTGTTAGAGTTTAAAAATTCCATAAAAAATAATTCTTTAGTTGTGAAAATTTGTTATGAATTGAGTGTTTATGACATTACTTTACGTTAGTTACCTAATAAAGTGACAAATTTAAAGGCGTACTTGAGCTGATATTTACTTACTGAACAGAACAGCTTTCCAGCGTTGGTTGTTGATCTGGGGCAATTTGAGGTGGCTGTATATGTTCGGCGTCAAGGTCAATATCCGAGTCGTCAGATTGGACTATGTCGTCTGGGTCGTCAACTTCCATGTCTTCAAGTCCACTTCCTTCTGTAGTTGACATAGACACATCGACGTTTCTCACTTGGTCTTCGCCATCACCATCACCATCTCCTTCTTCATCTTCGGTGTCGCTGATTTTATCCAGATCGGACGCAGTGAGGATGACGTCATCGTCTATTTCACAATTAGCAGACTCCGGTGGTTTCATTAGTGTCACTTGGATTCTGTGACGCAGATTTTGACGGAACTGCATGGCAGATGGGTTTTTTTCATAACCACACCTTTGCCTTGCAATTCCAAACTCATTCTCCAAGGCGTCTTGTGTCAAACGATTCGTCAGGAGATACTTGGTGTCCTCTTCCTTGATGTCATTCCAAAGTTGAAGGACTGACGACACTGTTTGGTACAACCCTGAAAAACAAGGAGGTCGGCTGAGTGATCTGCTTGTTTTTTTATCGCACCGCCAGGTCTGTATCCACGGTAATGCATTTTTCAATGTTTCTCCTACACGAAGGCCAGCGTCGGTAGAAGAGATTGCACATTTCAGTGGATTAGCGTCAAACTGAACTTTGCTATTCAAGCAATCAAAAATGTCGTTAAGTCTCCCGATGAAGGTTGCCGTGTTTACTGCATCAGCTGGTAGCTGGCCAGTGCCCACAGCGGTTTGCATGGCGGCAGTGACAGAATGGCTGAATACCTGTGTCGCCAATTTCACTTTCATTCTGTCAAAAGCGTTTGGCGCGACATGTTTTTCAGTAATTTTGCATAATGATCTGGCTTTATCTGATTTGCTGTCTAAGTTGTACAAGGTCACAAAGTGGTCCCATTTGGCCCAAACTCCATCACCATGTTGGATGTTTGTTTTCAGAAGAGCATTTCTTATCGACTTGAACAAGTGTGGAGCATCAAAAATAAAAAAAAATCTTCTTTTCCTGTACGGTGAAATATGGTGATGATTCGGTAACCTTTAGAATTGCTGCAGCCTTTTGGTTGTTGGTCCCCTGATCACAAGTAACTGTTCGTATGTTGAGACCAATGTTGCTCAGTGACGTTATGCAGTCTTTCAACACAGTGGCAATCATGTCTCCTGACATTGTACGGCTAGTGACATAATAGGCTACTGGCATCTTCCATTTATACGCCAGGCCCCTGATCAAGAACATTAAAACGTGGTCTCCTACTCTTGGCGTCCTTCCATAGGCGCCCAAGTCTTCAAAACCTTCGATGACATCTCTTTTTTCATTGAACTGTAAATTTTTTTAATAGCCATTTCGTCGGACATCAATGTCACTTGTTTTTCCAGAGGAGACATGTTATTTACTTTGATCTTCAATAACTTAAGTAGTTCTTCACTAATCCCTGGTTTCAATTCCATTACATTAAGCCACCTTGAAATGGTTGAGCGTGATGGCAAGTTGAAGTTTTTTTGGTCACGCATGTTGTTGTATAAGGTCGGCGATCTGTAAAACATTTCCATGGCCAATTGTTTTTCATCATCTGACCAGTTGCTTCGTTTCGTGTGCATCATTTGCATCTTCAAAAGTGTTTTAAATGCATTGCTTTTAATCTCCTTACATGCAGCCTTGTAAACAGTATGTTTACTTATGGTCGTATGTCTGGATTTAATCCGTTTGAGCTGCGCAGATCGTTGACGAAGGGTTGTTTTTACTTTGGTAAGACGCTTACGTAGTTTTACTTTTCTCGGGGTATCTTCGCCCATCATTAATTTCCTTTTGGTTATTGCTCTTCCAACGTGTTTAACGTACTTAGGCGACTGATCCATTGGTTTACTTTGTTCAGATGTCCGCGTATGTTGAACAGAGTAACTAGCATAGGGAGTGGAGGAACAAGAAGGACCGGTGTAATGAAGAGATGTGTGAGAAGTTGTAGATAGCAGGGGTAGTTCTTGGCCACTCGATGACGTCCCAGCCACAGGTCCTGAAAATACACAATAAAAAATAGAATTTGATATTACACCCTTGGTAGCATATCTACAGCATATAATATTTCATTAGTCCGTGTATTCCACAGACAATACTTAATTTTATAAGTGATATCTGTATGTTTTATATCTGATTTTGATAAACGTTAACCTTACAGTTTGCTCGTTCAAAGAAATTGTTTACACATAGTTTTTAATCATAATTCTAGAGTGTTTCACTTTATACTGTATTTAGGTTATATATTAGATGGTTTACTGTATACACTTACTACGCAAAGAGTCTTTGTTTACATTTACATTATTAATAGGTAAACGTTAAAGAAACTATTTTATAATTGCGTATTTAGGTTGCATATTAAAATATACTAATAGACCTATTTAGATGGTATTGGATTGGATTAAAACGACGCTGTAACACCATGGTGCGGATTTTAAGATGATAACTATAGTGTTGAACGAATCAATAAACTGTTTCATAACAGACTAACATCATATGGCTCTTTGTAATGTTTAGTTACTTTTTTTAAATATAGATAGGCTTAGGGAATTTTTACGCATACTCATAATAAGTTAGTCCAGTATGTTTAACTAGTTTCCTCGTGTCAACACATAGAGTCTAACGTTCATTCAATTATTTTAGGGCCACTATTCGGCTTTTAGCAGAGTCATAAAACTCGTCCTTCTGCGAAATGACGGGCCCTCCCTCGCCTGTCCTTGGAATTTTGTAGCCCCTGATTTGGGCGCGGGTTTTGCCTTTTGTAACATTGTTGAGTTCGCAAAACTTTATGACTTGACAAACAGTCTCCTCCTCCTCTCAGATGTTTCGTTTGGTTTTAATTCATATTTTATTAAAATTACACATTAGTTTTAGGAAAATTAAAAAGGTTTCGTTAATACCAAAGGTGTCTATTTGGCGAAGAACTTACGTTTCGGCGACAAGGATAAACCAAAATATTTTTCAGTATTATATAGCATGCCAACCAATATATAAATGTACTTGGCTCTCATCATCATCATCATCATCATCATCTTGTATATAGTTTAGGGTTTAATTTTTTTTTTAGGTTTATACTTATTACTTTTATACTTATACTTATACTTATACTTATACTTATACTTATACTTATTTATACTTATTTTAGGGTTAGGTTTATACTCAATGGTCCTAGAGAGCCTAATAGCATTGACTATAAATCCTTAAAAGACAATGCATACATACGGGCCCATTGTATTGGTCGGAGCTGAGCCAGGTCCGTGGGTTCAGTTAGTTGGTCTGCACCTCCGAAAGACAGCGCGTGAGTCAATTGTTTTATTCCTTCTCTGCCAGAGAGTGCTGGCAGCGCACTCCCGCCCGGCGCCCGGCGCCCGGCGGCCCGGCCCGCACTCGGCGCACTCGCACTCGCTCTCGCAGTACAGACACTAGACAGAGTACGCCGTGCTGCCGGATCGCTACAGCGCACACGCGCACGTAACTACACGTACACCACACCGTCCCTTTATTTAACTCTTCACTCTCTGTCCTCTCACCATACTTCCAGTTCCACTGCTACTGCATTGGACCCCAACGATGCGATTATATTATGACCGCAACCGAGCATCGATACCTACCCAATTCCTATGGTTTAATTAAATTTGTCATACCTACACACACATTTTTTCACACTTACACACACATATACCAACACCATACCCCTACTACCCATTTACCCAGAACTACTTTAATTTTCAATCTGCATCCAGGGATTTAAAAAAATTGAAATATAGAAAAAATTATTTTTTACAGAATGGATGTTAGCTTAGCGGTAAATTCCCAAATATACCATTGAAATTTATATTATTAAAAGAATTTGTTGGATGTTTGTATTCAGCACATTGACCCCTAAATATTTATTTTCCTAGGCATTTTGGGTATCAATTTTAAAGCTCCAATTATTTAGATGTGCCTTTTGTGGGTTTAGATGATAACCCGTGAAAGATTTTCGTCCAATAGGCTTTTAACATTTCAGAGTTTATTAATCATCTGTCAATCATCAATCAGTTGTCAATCATCTTAACTTTTTCATGTCAACACTAACTGTTTGCCCGTTCTACGTACGGGAATCTAGTAGTAAGTTAAAACCCACGAATACTATAAAAGACCCCTTATATTCAGAACAGGAGTTTGGTTTGCATATTTAGTGTGCATTGTTCCAGATATGATGGCAAAACTATAACTGTTTAGGAATACATATAAACCTTCTCAAATACAATATCTGACAGTTTCAAAGCCAAAACGAATGCTTCGCAATTAAATATCACCCGATCGTGTTAGTCCATATTTTATATCAAACGATGAAAGGAATTGCTTTACAGTATAGATCTATGAGGCATAGCCCTAAGGTAGGCCTGTAATTTAAAGTTACTTTTCATACTGGTTAAAAGTAGTTAAAACACTTCCTCAACCTCACTACTGCACACTTTATTCGGGTTTAAATTTTTATTAACAATGGTGCTCTTGTCATTTCCACGAAAAATAAGGACATTAATGTGTTACATACAGACATACACACACAAATACTTTGGTTTTAAAAGTTTTTAAGTTTTCGAAAATCAAAGATATTTCCCATAAGTAGCATTATTTGTAAGAAGCTTTTAATGTTAACATAATTAATGGCAGTTTGAAGAAACCACCTTTATCCAAACAAAGGTTTCTTATTTAAAAGATTACGTAATCTCTAAACGATAATCGGTACATATATCTAGCAAACATTCGGAGGAAATGTGACACAAAACGCACAAATCTGGGGTTTTGTACGTTTGTAGTTTTACTTCCTAAGTAGGAAAAGTACCGATATCGTTGTCGAAATGTAAGTAAGTAGAAACCAAAAGTGACACATTGGAAAATCGAGTTTAGCTACATCTGAAGTTAAACCTCCGTTGCGGTACGATCACAGCGAAATCAGAAAGATCTTCCAAGATCGCAGCAACATACACGATCACCCACTTGTGATTTTTTACTTTGCACTTTACATAACTGTCCTTCAATCACCGTCAATGAGTGGAAACCTTTGTAAGCTACGGTATTGGTGACGATGATTAAAAAAAATGTAAGTTTCCTTGCACTGATACAACACTAATTCACGGCATTTTCCCCGGTTATCAAAACTCAAGAACAATCGTTGCACTTGCGATTAATTAAACCTGTTAAGTAAGGCACAAAGTTTTTAATCTCACTTGGTTTGGATGTGCTGACTAAACTTGATCGAAAATGGTTATTTGTAAACAACTTTTAATGTAAACATATCAGTGACAGCTAGAAGTGAGAACTAATCCAAACAGCTGATCGTTATTTCATAAAATGTAATAGTAAACATTGGGAGAAAATTTGACAAAAATCGAACAAGATTGGGTTTTTGGTGGTTCGTTATTTTGTTTTCAAAGAAGCGAGGCAATTTTTTTATAGCCAAAGAGACTCTCACCAATCCAGTAAATACAGAAAAATGATTAGAACCTTGATCGTTACTCTAGTTTTCTAGGAGTAGGCCGCGTAAAATGACATTTTGGCGTTACAGACGGAGTCACAGACTGGACAAACAGACATACAGACAGAAATTTAGATACGACTCGTTTCGGCTTTCTTAGGCTATGAAACGTAAAAAAACCAAAAACTGCATGATTCTAAGCAATGTACAGACAAAACTGTAATTCTATATAGATTTTAATTTGTTTACATAACAACAGATGAAAATGCTACAAATTCGTTTACATCCATACGAAAATCGTTACAGTTGGTGATGTTGTAGTGAATTCAAGTAAAATATTGCAAACTTATTTGTATAAATTGTAAATAAGAACTTACGTTAGCTTTTTTCTATTTTTAAGATTTGCAATAGAAATCCGTAACTTATTTCAAATATGCTATATCACGGATTTTGTAGTCACAAAGTGACGCTGGCTGTTAGAACTTTAGGAACTTTAGGAATATCTGTTTTTTTTTTAAGAAGCAATGATTGTCTAAGGATTTATTTGCTCAATGCACAATTTAAAAATAATAAACTATAATTTGCATTTCCTTTTTAAGGGATCTGAAGCAGCTGAAGTGCCGTATATGTTGCAAGTTTCAAAATCCACTAATGTCTTGAAATGTGTGTTAATTTATTGAAAGTTAGTCATTGTCTTATTGTTATGTTTAAGTGAACTGAAGTTAAAATTTTATAGTTAGCTCAATGTAAATTTTAAAAATGATAAACTATTATTTGTTTTTATGTCTATTTTGTTTTCCACCTTTTAGAATTTATATAGCTAACTAAATTTCAATAGGGGTTTCTAGTGATTTCATTAGAAACATGAAGTGTCATCACCAAAGGTCAGTAAACTTGTTTAGCTTTATAACAAAACACAAAGTGTTATAACTAAGTATCATTAAAAGTATTTAGTTATATCACTAAATATCATCACAAATAACAAGTTATACCAGTTCACATCATTTAAAGGTTTAGTGATATCATTAAAATTGTCTAGTGATATCAGTACACACCATTAAAATGTTTAGTGATATCATTAAAATTGCCTAGTGATATCAGTAAACACCATTACAATATTTAGTGATATCATTAAAATTGTCTAGTGATATCAGTACACACCATTAAAATGTTTAGTGATATCATTAAAATTGCCTAGTGATATCAGTACACACCATTAAAATGTTTAGTGATATCATTAAAAATTTCTAATGGTATCACTAAGTTGCGCTATTGATTTTATTGATTGATTTCTAGTGATTTTTACTCGTCCCAAATCTCACTACGTATCACTAAATTTTTTTTTAATGATTGCTTAGTGATTCTTCCACTAGGGATGTCACTATCTTTTCCAATGTATTTGTTTTATAGTAACTGTAGGAAAAATTAAAAATATAATGTACAACTCGAGTGCAAAGTGCAATTGCCTCACTGCTCACTCGGGAAACCATTCCTCACTCGCCTACGGCTCATGAGTAGGCCTAAGTATTTCTCTCGAGTGAGTCAATTGCTCCCTTTGCTCACTAGTTGCACAAATAACTATTTCTCCGTAACCATTAGATAATAACTCTTCAATATACTAAATTATTTGGGTTTTGAAGCTCTACAAAATGGTTTGGAAACAAATTGCTAAATCATGTTTTTTTTGGGACAAAATGGGAAAAACCAATTTGTACCCCACACATTTCTACATGCACAATACTGTATCACATATTTCTTATTAAAACATAAACATAAGTGAAAACAATCCTACTTTGACGGTTCTCAATGTTTATTACAGCTTTATGTTGCTGTACACATGACCAATCTACCAGCATTTGTAACGGCCATATTTATAGCAGTAATGGCAGTTGGATCTATTTTTAAAAAGGTTCGAATATAGCATAAATCTGTGTACGTGATAATAATAATAAATATACAATAATAGTAAATAATATAAATAAATAATAATGCATATAATAAATACATTAATTTATATATAATTAATATAATATATAAAAACGACAACGCGTTTGCCTAGAGAATATTGTGAAGGGATCCATCACCGCGCAGGGCCTATGCGAGGCGAACCATGCGGCGGCGCCGGTGAGTCGGACGGTAGGGAGATCAAAGAGGACCGCGACCTGGCTGGAGTGTCGGCAGCGGAGCGGGGATGCACGCGTGCACGCGCAGCACTTACTACACGAGTTTCCAGCCATTGCCGCTAGGAACGACACCGCATAGAGGTACTGAACTAGTTCTGCTAATCTCCGCTAGGATATTTTGCTGGGTACGCTTTTTAGTACTAGATGCGTTGTCTTTTAAGGATTTATAGTCAATGGTAATAGCAAATGCAGTACATATATGTTTCATTGAATCTCTGATTCTACTCTACAAAAATATCAACAAAGGACTTAATATACAAATCAGTTCTTTTAATCAGTTCCATCGTCCATTGCCTTTAAACTTTCACACTTACCATTAAGTAAACATAGTAACAGATATTTAATTGATTTTAGAAACAAAAGAACACTATGTACTGCTAAGTTTTATGGTATTTTCCTTGGATTAATTTAATCAGTGGTGTGGCAAAACACAAAAAAAATTTATCAAATAAAGTAAATGTGAACTGAAAGCTATGTTATGATAAAATAAGAGTATTTTGTATTACCATTTGATAATTAAATATGGTTACACATATACAACAGATTTTAGAACACAAAAATCAATGACGTACAATTTAGTTATTGATGATATTCTTTAGTTCAATTTAAGCATAGGTTTAGCAAAACACAATAACTAAATTTACCTAAATATACGTATAAAAAACAATGTGATTTGCAGGTTAAGTTAAGTTAATTTTACACATGTTAAGCAGTTCGAATTTATTTATAGTAGCCTCCAAATTCATACACACATCTATACATTGTAATTTTTATACTGTTTCCATGAAAACATACCAATAACATTATTTTCATATCTGAGACGCTTTAAAAATCCAAAGCAGAGCCGGAGTTTTCACAGCAACGGTTATAGAATCTTTTTTTTCTATAATCATTGACAGTTTTAGAATAAATAATCCATGATAAAATGCTAGATTAAAATAACCTCATAGTTATGGAAAATATTATATTTAACTTCTTTAGCATCAGCTGTCTGAAATTGTGAAATATGCAACTAAGCAGTTCTTCTTGTTTACATAGAAATGTCAAATCAAATGTAAATAAACATTATTAGTGTTCTAATCGCATCCATGGAGACCAATCAATATTTACTTTTAAAATGTTCACCTCAGAACCTTTAAATCCAAAGCGGCAAAGCCTATGGTCAGTATCGAAATGTGAATGAATAGTCCTATAATGGTCCTTGGTATGCTAGCTATATTTTTGTAAAATTTAAGCCCAGTTGGTTCAGTAGTTTTTGCACCTATTAGTAACACACATACAGACAGACACCAGATTTTTATATAATAAGTATAGATAATACATAGTACGACGTCATATCTCTTATATTATTACGTGAGGGATGTTTTTTTGTGAACAAAACCCCTCCGTTATTTCTGGACCAATTTTAACGTTTGAGGTGTCAAATAATTCGTCTCAATTCGTAGTTTTGCATAAAGATTTTAGAATTTAAAATCTCGTACCCTTAAGGGCACGAGACGCTCTCAAAGTCACATTTTCCCCATAAGAATAACATTGAAAACAAAAACAGCTGTATATAAAACTAAACTCACCAGCTTTTTCGGAGTAAATATTCGATGTTTGATATATAATTTTTGAAAGTTATGCTAAGCAACTTATTTTGGTAGTAAAAATAAACATGAAGAATATACACATCAAGTTGTCACATTGGTAAAGTAAACCTACCTTAAGTCAGATAAAATAAATACATACAAGAAATTTTTACTCGTAACAGCTTTAAGTCGGGAAACATTAGTAGAAAACACTAAAAAATTAGGCCGGGTCCAAAAAATGCTAGAATATTTTCACAAGATGGGTTTATTATTTCAAAGCGCTATTAAATAACGTGAATATTTTGTTTAGTTACACAAGCTTTTAGTAGAGTATTTTAAACTCATCGAAAGTTATGACTGTTATTATTGTAGTTTTAAAATAAATTCTGTATAATACCGGTATTTTCAAATTGCTCGATTTCGAGCAACAGGTGCACTAGTTATCCTTAATCTCTGTACTCGTCCAATTTATACTTTATGCGGTAAATTTCCATCTCGTAAGATATCAGTAGCTACCTCGTCGATATCTCCTAAGGGATTTATACCAATTAGGGCCAATAGGCTTAATTAGCTAGACTGAATCAGTATTAGCCTAACAGTATAAGTTAAGTAATTCTATACTATAAAGACAATCTGTTTTATCCATCTGGCAATGGTAAAGGAGAGAAATCGTGATTTAAAAATACTTACCCGCCTCTGAATTAATTTAGCCTACATGAAACTTGGTTACCATATAACAATTACGTAAAACTTAATTACTGATGGTGGCAAACGCTTCGCTATTTAAAAAACAACAAATTTAATAAGGTGGAGTAATACTTTACTTTTTAAAATAAAAGTCTTCAGTAAAATATTATCAACACAAAAATTGAACTTATGTGTAATAATTTGTACAACAATATGGTATGTAGGTTATCATAGTATTGTGTAATTTATCATGGGAAATAAGTTAGATTATGTGACCTAGGCTATTCTGTATTAACCTAGGCCCTACTCCCAAGTTTTAAAGTTATTAAGTTTGAGAGTTATTTTATTGACCAATTTTCATTAAAACTGAGGTATTATTACAGTTAAATATATTTTTTGAAAATTTCCCATATAGGGGATAAGCTATAACCATAGGTCTCATGGTAAGACCTAGACCCTGGACACATTCTATTTTTCGTTTTTATGTTCCCAGAGGCCAAAACCACCACTATCCGTTTAAATTCATATATGCCTGGATTTCTGTCTGTTTGTATGTAATAAAAAAAAAATATATATTCATAAACTTTGAGCCACTATGGTGATCGACAATTACACTATGGCACTATGTTATGGTGTCAATATGGTTATGACACTATGGTGAAACATAATTAATAAGTACTGTCAGATTACTTACCAGATTTACAAACTATTCAAAATTGCAACTATTCCAAATTTGTTATCTTACAAATAAGTCAAATAAGTTTAATTATACTTTTAAAAATTGTATCCTAGGATATTAGAGCCCGGAATTGTTTTTCACGTTACTTCAGGCTGGACCTAGGGTTGGAGGTATTATCACTAAGATAAAATCGACTTATTTAAATAGGTGTGAATAGTTTATAGAAATGTTTTTTTTTTTTAATATAACCAAACAAATTTCCCCAGTCTACATGTTTGCGGCCACCGACGGTGGTATTTTATAACCATTCTTGTGCATTTATGTTGACCCGGGCAACATCGAGGTTTACTGCTAGTTGCTAATCTATATCTATAAATAAGAGGAAGTATGTATGTATCCTATGCATATATAGATAATTGAGATAATTTAGATAATAGTAGATAATAAATAATAGGGTGCATGCAATAGATAATTTACAATTACCTTTACCTATTGAACTAATGTATTATAATCACCCTACGTTTTTCGTTTTAAATCTGACAGGTTTTTATACGCTTTACACATTTATGAATAATTTTCTACTTTTTAGTGCGTTTAAAAACGTTTTGTAAAAAAACATTTTATTTATAAATTAGTTTCTACTTTTTAGTTTTTAATGTGTGTGGATGTTAAATCTATTTCAAGCATCTATATCAGGTTAAGACAGAGGCATGTCGGAAATCTAAGGTTTATTTGAGTTTCTTTTCATATAATTATGCATCAGATAGAATGTATGGCCTACCTACTAACTATAATTATATAAATCTATTTAATTTATTGTTTACTTTATAGAATCTTACTAATATTATAAATGTGAAAGTTCGTGTCTTTGTTTGTTTGTTTGTGTGTTTGAAGTTCAATCACGCATAAACCACTGGACGGATTGGGCTGAAATTTGGCATGATGATAGCTTACATTCCCGATTAACATATAGGCATATTCTTATATCAAAAATCCTTTCGGGCTCCGCCCCAGTGGCTCTGTAATTCCCCATGTTAACCTTATGAGTATTCATATTTAAAGGGAATTAAAGAATTTAGTCAGCTGTTTCAACAAAAAAGTTTGTTCTATGATATGGAAAAGCATTAAAATGTTATTAGATTTACCAACAGGGTGCAGCACTATATTTGTTTTGCATTTATGATAACAGCTAATTTGAACTAAGCAGCAACAAAAACTATGATTCGCAATGAGAACTGTCAAATTAGGATTGTTTACAGTTATGCTTATGTTTTTTATTTCATTAATAATTTGTGATATTTTGTGAATTGTTGATCATTTATTTTTCTCTATTGTTTAAGAGAGGCGGTAGAACATTATGGTTATGGTAGATGTGTAATACTATAGAATACTGTAAATTTAAAAAAAGCAAATTTTATCAATCTGTTTCCTCCCTTATTGCAAACGCAAAGCTTGAGTATAACTGCAATAAGCATTTTATACTTATATTCCAACCCCGTACGAAGGACGGGTACTCTGCTAGTACTTAATAAAAATTGCCATATATCTGCAATCAGATTGTTTATATTTTATTTGAAATGCTTGTTTTATATTTTTAGAATATCTCGGGAGCAGAACTTGTACCTCTTAACCTCTGCTCTTCGAACTGTCAAATTTAAGTATTTACAGCTGACTTAAATTTATTGATATATTTACATTCTTTCAAAATGTAAACATGGAAAATTTGGAAGCCCATGGGGCGTAGCCCAAGGGAAATATGAAAATTAAATGATATAATATTGCATTGTCATCCATGTGTGAACTATGTTTCAAGTTTCAAATATCTAGCTCATCGGGAAGTTAGTATAAAATTGATTGCAAAATTTGTACCGTACAAGAAAGCGGGCTAATAAAAACGTTTTAATAAGAGGAAGTATGTATCCTATGGAGTCCGCAACCACTCGACAGATTTTAATGAAACTTTCAGGCATTATTAAGCGTTATCAAGGATGGTTTGTGTGAAGTTTGTGCAGATCCGTCAAAAGGGCTCCGCCCCAGAGGGTTTTAAGGGGTCCAATTTTAGACTTTTGGAACTAAAATGTTTACAAATAAATATAATTTAAATGCAGATGTTTACT